TGAGCCTAGGGTGATATTGCCACTGTCAGGGTCACATGGTTTCCAGGAATCCAGGCTCTGTAATCTGAAACCCAGTATGCTAATGAGGCATCCTACCCGCTATTCTGTGATAGGACGCTGTCTGTTATACTAATAAGGTATCCTACTTGCTGTGCTCTGATTGGACCACTACCCCTATATAAGCTTGTGCCTTCCTGCAATAAAGCAGATCTGTGTCACTGAACCTGGTCTCCTGTGTCTGAATGCAGTGACGCTGGTGCAGACTCCTCACCAGCCCTGGGGTCCGGACCAGATGACTGATTGGAGGAACTAAGAGAGCAGGAGAGTGGCCATAGCCGGAGGTGAGCAGCCACAGCCGGCAACCACAGTGGTGCATGCCTTTAATCCCAGCACTAGGAGGCAGAAGCTGGCAGTTCTCTGTGAGATGAAGGCCAGCCTGATCTACAAAGTGAATTCCAGGCTAGCCGGGGCTGCAGGAAGATCATGTTTCAAAAAATAAAATTAAAAAAAATGGGCTAAAGCGATGGGTCAGTGGTTAAGAACACAGACTACTCCTGTAGAGGACCTAGGCTCAGTTCCCAGCACCCATGTGGCAACTAACAACCATTTATAATTCCACTTCCAGGAGATCTGATGCCTTTTTCTGGCCTCTGTGGGCACTGCATGCAAAGGTGGACTAAACATACATGCATACAAAACACTCAATACATATAAAATAAAAAATAAAACAAAAAGGCTGACAATATGGCTAAGGGAGTTAAGGTACTTGCTGGCAAGTCTGGCCCCCTGAGTTTGAGCCCCAGAACCCACATGGAAGGAGAGAACTGACTCCTGCAGGTTGTCTTCTGACCACCACACATGGGACACACATACATGTACAAAAATAAATAATTTTGAACAATGTGTATAATAAGGTACAAATAATTCATTTCTTCCTCCACATTTGACACTGTAACATCTTCAAATACTGCTTCTTATATGTGGAGTGATAACAGAATTATATGATTAAAAGAGAAGAGCTCACTAATCTTTCCCCCTCTTTTTTGCTTTTCCTGTTCTGCCTGCTTTCTAGGACAATAGAAAAATCTTGGGCATGGGAGATAGCTCAGTAGCTAAGATCTCACATCTTCAAGCAGGCACAACTGGAGATCTGGCAAAGCTTAAGAACTCTCTAGGGGCTAGAGAGATGGCTCAGCGGTTAAGAACACTACTGGTTGTTCTTGCAGAAGACCGGGGTTCAAATCCCAGCACCCACATGGCAGCTAACAACTATAAGACCAGTCCCAGGGGATCTGACAGCCTCTCTGACCTCTGAGGGCATTTCACAACACAGGTGCACTTAACTACATGCAGGCAATACACACATACACATAAAATAAAAATAATAAATTTTTTAAGTTTAAAAAAAAAGAACTCTCAAGCCAGGCATGGTGATGCACGCCTGTAGTCCCAGCACTTGGGAGGCAGAGGCAGGCAGATCTCTAAGTTCAAGGCTATCACAGTGAAAGATTTATCGTCCTCTTTTTTTTTTTTTTTTTTTTTTAAAAAAAAAAAAAAAAAAAAAAAAAAAAAAAAAAAAAGGACTCTCTAAATCTGCTCCCAGTGACATGCTTCCTCCAGCAAGACCACACCTCTAAGACCTCCCAAAACAGCACCACCAACTAGGGACAAAATGTCTGAATAACTGAAGCCTATGGGGGACATTCTCATCCAAACCACTACACTTGGCCCATATTGTTTGAAAATGCTGATGCTTGGCTAGGTTGCAGAGTAACGTGTGTGTGTGTGTGTGTGTGTGTGTGTGTGTGTATGTGTGTGTGTATTTCTATCCCCAAATGTAATGTGAGTAGTTAATGCTTAAAAACTTTTGTTCAAAAAATTATTTTTCTCAAAATTGGCTGTAAATTATTAGGTTTATAGTTGGATTAACACAGTTATACAATATTGTACTCTGTATAAACCCTATAAGACATAAAATTAAACAAGGTTTTAAGCTTTGAAAAAGATCTCCA